CGCTCTAGCTCTTCCCACTTGCGCGGCCTACTTGCTCAACCCACTCGAACAGGTCAGTCACACGGCCTACTCGAACACTCGCGCAGCCCACTCGCACAGCCCATTCACACATCCCACTCGCGCAGCTCCGGGATAGTCTACTGGTACAGCCAACTTGTTCATCCCTGTCACACAACCCACCCATATGGCCTACTCGTGCGGCCGACTCTAACGGTCAACTCTCACGGCCCACTCAAAGAGCCCACTCGCACTGACTACACGCGTTGTCCACTCACGCGCCCCACTGCCGCAACCTACTCGCACGACCCACTGGCTCAGTGCGCTCGCACAGTCTACTCCCACTGCCACTCACGCAACCCACTCGCATGACCCGCTCGCACGGTCCACTCTCAAGCGCGCTATCGCAGAGAGAAGGCGACGGACGAGGCCGCGCCAAACTCCACGAGCTTTAAACCTTTCAATAATCGTCCCACCGTAAGTTAAAGTACCGGAACGAGTGAAAGTACTTTAATCGCGCCCTCACTGTCGTCCCCTAGCTCAGTATTAGTTTCGTCCCGCTGACATCGTCCGCCCGCTCGTCCTGTTCTGCACCATCCCACCCCGCAACGCATCGCCCGGCATCAATGAAGCCCAGGTGGATTGAGAATTGCATTAAACTGAAGCGCCATATTGTGCTGCAGCGCCATCTAGTGGATAGTTACAACGAAGTGAGAAGCATAAAAATCTTCTCCACGAAACAAAACACTAAGATATTTTAAGTTGTGGAGATCGGTCACATCACGTTTGAGAATTTTGCCTTTCACATGACACGGACATGGGTTGGTAAACAACAATAATTTTTCACAACAAAATATGTATTTTACACTATGTGTTTCGATGAATTTTTAATTTTCATATCTCCCCAAGTAACGTGCTACAAAACATGGTTGTTCAACATGCACCCTTGTCGGCGCCATTTTATGGTCAAAATAAAACCGGGCACAAAACATGAGGACAAAATGGTGCCGGCAGTGTATGTGGACTTTTCAGAGCGCGTCAGCCACGCCATATCTGGGTTTATGCACTTGGTAGTTGGCTGAGGGACTCGTCCGGCCAGAACCCGTATTCCCAAAACGTGCTTGTAAAGTTTTCATTCGCAAACCGCGCGAGTACAACTAGCAACAGAGCACATAAAGACGGGTCCTCTCCCCTCACTTTAGTCGTTACTCCGTGGCAACAACTTGATATTTCATTGCCAATATGCATACGCACATGTTAGAATATTACTACTAGCGTACATAAAAGGGATGAGAAGAGACTTGCGAGAGAGCGAGTAGTGGTGAGCGGGAGAGTGACTGAGTGGGGAGACATCGAAAATAAACCTACAACTTTTTTCCGCGAGACCAGTCAAGAGCTTAGAGCTTGTCCTGACCGGGGCGGTGCCCCGCTGAGTTAGATACCTGGACGAGAAAACACAGCAAGCAAATGAGTATGGCGCTGGATCCAGCAGGGGAGGAACACTACCATCTCCCCGCAATAACATCACCGACACTCTCGGGACTACTGATCAAAACAGTTGCCTCACCGCGAAGTACTCATCCCGAAAATGACCTTGAACCGCCTAAACGTACTGTGGCTCGTGGCGTCGTTAACACGAGAGCCAGAACTGTTAGGTCGGCACGTTGCAGGGGAGGAAAGGGTTGAGCCCTGAACTTCCGGGTTCCTGGCAGCTGACGCAGACAGCGTGACAGAGCTTAAAATACCCTTAGGCTGTAAACTCCTAGGAAGCTAGCTAGCGAGCCCTCGCTTGCCGACAGCAGGCGAGCCTGCCTAGGAAACTTGTGTGGTGGGGGTGTATGCCCCAACTATTTAACGCGGCGCCATCTGCGCCCGCGTTCTCATTCAGTTTGCATCGGAGAGCGTAGGACGAGTAGGTACGGCGAGAGTAGGAGTGTGGGCGAGATGTCCGGAGAGTAAGGGCCAGACGATCTCGGGTGTTGTAGGCACGCGGTCCGCCGGACGGCGACCGGTTTAAATTTTTGGCGTCAGGCCATGTGACGGTGATAGTTACGGGACGGAAGTCCGACAGCTCGCATCACGCGTAGCTTTTTTCTGCGGTAAAGCAGGGTACTGGGAAAGAAAAGGTTGCCGGAGGGTATAAATTTTATCCAATTATTGTAACTTGTTTGTAACTTTTCAACATACTTCTTATATGATTGTTATCTGAATTTATTCTTAGTTCACTACGTCACAGTACTATTGTCCCCAGTACAGCGCAAGGGATGGGTTGGCCGCAGCCGCGAGCGCCTACCGTCCTCCAGGGTCTGCGCCGTGACCGGGTCGGAGAGCGGGCCGGCGCCCACCTGGTTGAAGGCCTGCACGGCGATGGCGTAGTGCGCGTTCTTCGCCAGCCCCGTCAGCAGCAGCTCCCCGCCGCCGTCGTCCGCGTCGCCCGCCACCGAGCTGAAGTTGTACGCGCCCGAGCCGAAGCTGCGGCAGAGGACGGCGCGCACACACCCACCGTTTCAATTTTTATTTATTCATTTAACGTCAACAACAGTTGGGTACTGTGTGTGGGACGTATTATGGGGAGAGGTGTTCTCTGTGCACGTTTCCTTAAATTCTGGGATCCCTACCCTAACCCATATTTGTTTTACATTATGAATACAGGTGACCTTTTGTGGCGAAAAGTGATAAGGAAATATTAGCTTCGGAGTAATAAAAACTATTTGCAAAGGGAAAAAGCTACAGATTTTAGATTAAGAAGTGAAGAAATTGACCTGCTACTGTTGTAAGACTATAGATAATGCTATTCTGAGGAACTACATTACTGAACTCTAAATAACATGCGCAAATACTGATGTTACATTTACATTCAGAAGCAAAACAAAGGGAGTTCTCAACATTCGTTCAAGGGAAACTGGACGAAAAATCTGATCAAGATGTGGTCAGAGTGGGCTCAAAACCTGATCTTAGTGTGCGGTCAGAGTGGATGTAAGTTTAACGAGATTATTCCACTCGTAATTGTACATCGTACTGTACATCTCCTATCTAGGAATGAAGACGGTGTAGCTTTTTCTTTCTGCCTCCTCTCTGCAAACCTATCACAAGGATCGATGCATTAATCATGGGCACCACTGTCGCGTGCACTTGGGCGCGAACACAAGATAATTAACATTAGGCGCATTCTGAAACTTGTTTGGAGGTAATTTCATTCGTGGAATAGTCTTGTTAAATATCACTCGTGGATTGGAAACTTCCAGATATATTTCCATCGACCCTACGTGCCTCGGGAACTTTCGGAAATTTCTGATGCACATTTCCCGATGTACCCACGTACCAATGTACCTAAGATAAATACATAGCAATGAGAATATTGCTGTAACTTTAGGCCGGTGAGTTGACGTGCTGTCATCTGTGGCGACAAAAGAAAGGACTGTTAGACGAGTGTGTGCAGCGAGCGGGATCAGTACTTTATCAGTCTACTGCAGTGTATAAATCGTTGAACTACATAGCAATAGTACAAGACCCCTAACGCCAAGTTTACACAGGTAGTTCGGGGTTCTAAATTGAAGTCACGAGGTCGGAGTAAGCAAGAATGTTTTCGTAGACTGCGTGAAGCATGCGGTGATGCAGTGTTGCCTGTTGATGGGTTAAAGCGATCAGATTAGTCAGAGCTGCTGTGTATGGATAACCCCCAAACAGGACGGCCCCACGTCTAGAACTCTTGCGCCGCTGGCAGTAGGAGATTCCTTACTTACCCGATATGAATCCCTGTGATTATATAACAGGGAACCACTGCGAGGAACCCGTTACAGTAACAGAGAAGCAATTACTCATAGCATAGAGCGGTCAATACGGGACATCAACGAAAATAGACGTGCAGATGGGGTTTAAGAAGCTCTGTTAATAAAGTCGAGAGAGAGAGAGAGAGCGAGAGAGAGAGCGAGAGAGAGAGCGAGAGGGAGAGCGAGAGAGAGAGCGAGAGAGAGAGAGAGCGAGAGAGAGAGAGCGAGAGAGAGCGAGAGAGAGCGAGAGAGAGAGAGCGAGAGAGCGAGAGAGAGCGAGAGAGAGAGACAGAGACAGAGAGAGAGACAGAGAGAGAGGCAGAGAGAGCGGGAGAGAGAGAGAGAAAGCGAGAGAGTGCGAAAGAGAGAGTGGGAGAGATATTTTAAATATACTTGTTATGATAGAACTTAAAAACGTGTTAAATTTTTAATATTGCCTACGTTGGCTTTCATATTTAAACAGTCATAAGACTAACTTATTTAACAACGTTTAGAATATTCCCAGATTTAGAAGAAGAATGAAGTGTACATCTTGTATCTGTACAGGAATGAACTCGAAAAACGAAGCAGATCATTTACGGGAGTTGTATTTTGTATTGGAATTGTATTGCGATGACTTGCAGCTGGTGCATGGACATTCTTAAGCTTAATACTGACACTTATTACTAACACTTTAATGAGCAAGTTTGAACGTCAAGTTGATTAAAATAACTCATCTAACAAATATGTGGCGATTTCCTAAATGACCCCGAGAATGTATAATAAGCATTTGCAGATCCATACAATTTATCTTCCAAAAATAATTTTGCATTTATATTCTACGGTATACACTTGAATATGTACTCTTAGAGTGTTCACTGTTACACAAGTCTAACCTGTGTGCATATATAGTTAGCATATTATAGTGTGTATATATAGTGCATATTATATACTAGTGAGGATCATATATGGGAATTTTTGAAAGTAACCAGTTGGAGCTTTTAAAACTCACTGGTAACTGACCGTTAAATGGGAGAATTATTGCAAATTAAGTGAATGAGAAATGTAATTATGATTAAATGGTTGATGTAATGTAATTATTTTCGAATTTCATTTACGGTCTGCCACAATATGAATTTATGAATAATACGCCAACACCAGCAAGATGCGGTCTTTATAAACTGAAATTCCGGAGAATGAGGAAAAATCATTATATCTTTTTTCTTCGTCAGTGAAAGTATAAAATGAGTTTTTATGGAATGAAATATACAAGAAATTGTATTTGTTACTTATCAGTATACAGTAATTTTTGTGTTTTTTCACGCACACATACATGAATTAATTGGAAACTGAGACAGATCATGTACAGGAATATATTTTATACTTAAAATTTATTTATTCTTTTTAAACTCTTTGCGCCCATGATTACATGGACTCGTACCACATCAAATAATTTTTCTTCAGTATGGAAAAACTGGGTTCTGGTATAACACATAACAAACATGAAATAAGCCATATAAATTCACTACTTTTTAAATGAATATTGACTACACTCCTCTTGATATTCTCATATTAACGCTTTTTATGCATTAAAAATATGCGAGACCGAAGACAGAATTGCTATTTTATCGAATAATATGAAATTTGTTTACTTGTTTGGCAATTATTCCGTCCAATAACTTTACGCCTATTCACGATGATCTATTAAATACGTGGAATGATATATTTTGAAACGCCTTCCCCTTTATTGTGAAGAGAAAGTCGCGTTACAGTTAATTGGATTTCTGGTGTTAAAGGTGTCGGTATTCACACTAAATTTAATCGCTGCCGCACGACCTACCTGACCTTTTAGCTTTTATTAATTGCGCTTTGTTTGTTTTCATCGCTCTAACCCACTCTGGCTTAACAGCCATATCATCTGGGGTTCGTGTGATATTCCAACTGTTGGATATAACATGAGAGAGATGTCCTTGCAGTCTTATGCAATTCCATAAAGTGAACGATCAGAATTGATTAAAAGATGCTTGGTGGAATCAACAGATATTACACATTTCATACAGTTTTGTTTACTCAGATGAAGAAATATAGTTTAGTGAAGGTGAAAAAAAAGTTATGAAATAGTTCTCTCCAACTGATAATAACGCTTGGATTCCCCATAGATAGTTTTTGCCTTGGATAGAAATAACCTCGTAAAGTTCCTTGCTTCTGCACATTTAAGGGCTCTCTTTTATTCAGATTTTTATAGAGTGCAATCAGACCAGAGAGATCGTGTCTGAGACATACTTGCCTATTAGCTACTATGACATCCGCTATTTAGATAAAAAAAATCAAGTCACTTTTAGCAAGAACATTGTGAAGAAAAAGTCAACATTATTAAAAAGCTGAAATGTATCTACTGGTAAATACGAATAGGTAAAAAGGAAAATGCTTTCTGCAACTAGCTATGGGCGATGCATTTTAAAGTGAATAAAAATAAAAATGAAATGAATCAGATATTTGCTGATATGAGTCGAGCATCAAGCGCATCGTAAGAGAGCATCGTAACTATCTTGGTCGAAGGAATGCGAGTATGTTGAAACGTAAGTATGGTTATGTTATCTATACCTTTTAAAATCATTCCTTAACTTACACAATTCACACGTAAAATTAAGTGGTAACAGACAAGAGAAACAGGCAGAGATGTGTGCAGAAGGCAGGAGGGGCAGGCGGGAGGGACAGGCAGGAAGAGAAGGTAGGAGGAGCAGACAGTAGGGGCAGGCAGGAGGAGCAGGCAGGAAGAGAAGGTAAGAGGAGCAGACAGGAGGGGCAGGCAGGAGGAACAGGCAGGAAGACAAGGTAGGAGGAGCAGACAGTAGGGGCAGGCAGGAGGAGCAGGCAGGAAGGTAAGAGGAGCAGACAGGAAGGGCAGGCAGGAGGGGCATCCAGGAGGGGCAGGCAGGAGGAACAGGCAGGGAAGCAGGCGCGAGGTGCAGGCAGAAGGGACAGGCAGGGGAAGCAGAAACTGGAGAGCCATGCACAAGGATGAGATAGGATGCAGCAGTGGCAGGTCGTAGTCCGCCCACCTGGCGTCGCGGAATCCCACGTTGTAGCCCTGCAGGTCCCCGTGGCGCAGGTCGGCGCGCGGCGGCGCCCACGTGACCAGCAGCTCGGTGGAGGAGAGCGCTCTGGCGGCCACACTGAGCGGCGCGCCGGCCGGCCGCTGGGGCTCCGTGCGCACCATCAGCTCGGCGCTGGGGCGGCTGCGGCCCGCGGGCCCCGCCGCCGCCACCCGGAACACGTAGGCCGTCGCGGGCTTCAGCTCCTCCACCAGCGCCTGGCGCGGCGCCGGCGGCCCGTCCACCTTCAGCTGCTGCCACGCCCCCGCGCCGCTGCCCGCCGCGCCGCCGCCCCCGCCGCCCACGCCGCCGCCAGCCAGCGCTGCCACACAGAACGCACACGCGTGCTAAAGGCGACACCGTCCGCTTCCCATCTGTGTGATCCCCATTCCACGTCCGTCTCCGCAGCTATCTAGGTCTGTTGCGAATGAAGAAACAAACGCGGTAGTGAATGTTTTTCTGTAGTCCCTTTCGTTGACTTTTGAGCACGCCGCCGTCCCTTGCTACAACCAGAAAGGAAGGAGGACTTAACAGCTAAACCGCTATTTCTTAAGAGTTTTTAGTACGAATTATACGCGATAACAGTTATTTCGTTTACCTCGTATTGGTTGTTATCGGTTGAAATTCTCACCACTGCAACATATTGGGAAAAATCAAAACTACACGTTTTCGGGGCAATCATTTTGTTCGTACAATACGTTTTGTACGATAACAGTTTCAATGCAGCTAATCAGTCGTAATTAACAAGAGTTCAATTTGTAGATTCATTAATAAGTAATCCGTCATTATTATATGTACCGCGAAATTTTAATATATTACTAAGTTCATGCACTACTACAAATGTTTTTTTCTTTAAAATAAATCCTTCCAATATATTTGCAACTTCTTTCTGCCCTATTACTGCTAATGTGAGGTCCACTAATATTTCCCGAAGAGTGATAAAATAAAATGAGTTACGGTCAAATAACAAGCATTAGTTTTAAATGACTTAACAGCCATTTTAACTTTACTTCTAGCAAAACACACTTTTTCTTCTTTTCATTATTTTTGGCATTCTTCACTTCCCTACGTACAAATTGTCTATTCGAAAGGATATTCGTAATCTGAACCCCAATCAGGATTCACTGTAAATTAAGTATTATTCCGTACAAATTTGCTACTCACAGTATATCAAATAATATTCTTCCTTGGCTGTGCATCTAGTCTCTTTGTCTCGTTCCAATCTGTTGTTTCCCTGTTTATCTGTCTAGAATTCGTTTCAAGATGAGTCTCTCAAGTCCTTTCGAGAGAATTGGTAACACGCTGATGGGTCGGTAGAAAGTGAGATGACGAGGATCTTTCACGGGATTGAGAATTTCTTAATTAGTATGCCACTTCCTAATCCTTTAGCCCCACCTGAAGGAGAAGAATTCATTTGATGGGTTGAATGTGATGGTGTTATCATACGAACGATGATAGAACAACGATGAAATTAGACAGTGGGAACTGTAGAATCTTGAGGTAACTTGCCGTGAATGTTCCTTCCCCCTCCCGAAATGCCTCGTGGATCGGCAGGGATTTCAGCGGGTACATGGCGGTACCCACAGATGGAAAACTAGCGGGATTGTGCTGTCCTCAACATTATTGGTCGCTGAAACAGACAAACCTGTTTCGTGGAGAGTTGTGGTATTACAATAAACAATGGGGATTTGCATTTAGAATTTTAAAGTTGACCTCGGGCACGGGAGAGTAGGCTAGGTATAGCATACCTTTTCGAAATATTATCTAGATATTGTTTTCGTAGGATACGAATTATTCAAGAAAATTCGATGTCTAAAATTAAAGGCAGCTCCAGTACACATGTGGTGATCCAGTTGGCGAGCAATTTTTAGGAACTTTTTGTTTGTACTAATTAGATAATTTGGTTGCAACCGACAATTGTAAGGCTTGTATGTATATATGACATTCAGAATTTATTACAAAAAATACGATATTTCAATGGCAAAGAATTTTATTCCTTTCTTGCTTAATGAGAGAGTGAATTGGGAAAAATGTTATCAAACATTGTTTCAAGGGATGATTTTCAGTGTGTCCACAATATATATAAATTATATACGAAAATCAGCTTATTACTTACTTCAAGCGATGCGAATTAAAATGAAATAATATCCTGTGGATGAGGCTCTAGAGAAAAGTTTGAAGACATTTCTATTCCCATTCGTAGTACAAATAAATTATATGCGAAATTTAACACGATTGGCGGGACATTGAACATGGAACTCTTTCTTTAGATTGTAATGTGAAAAAATATAAATATACATTGAAGCTGTATACATCCATGCATTGTAATTGCTTTTCCCACCAGTAACTATATTGCTAGCACGTGTTAAAATTCTCACTTTGTCTCAGAAAATCCATTCTCTACAAAATGGAAACGTTTGCTTGAAAAAGAAAACCCAGTTAATGTATTTTACCGTACCAAATTTGAATTCACTTCACTAATTAATACGAAACTCTCCATTGCGCTAATTTAGTTCGGCAGTTTATTTACAGCGGGCCACATTCATATTGATACTGTATTGCTCTGAATGAGTGCAAATGCGGATACAACACCAGACCCACGTAATTCCATTACTGTTAGCTGATATGGAAAGGAATGGAAAATAACAGCATTAATCATCACATGTCATCAATATCGCGTTTTGGTCGATCAGGTAGCTAGGGGATAAGGTCAATACCTCATAAATCAATCTCGAATCTGATGACTAAATGATGAGGTGAAATGTCTGACGATGATGATCGCGCTTAAATATTCGGGGAGGAGAAGGTCACCATAGACATTAGACCCAGGTGTGCCCAGTATGACGTTTTAATTGCTTTTGGAGGAAACCGTTCAGGCGACACGTTTTCATCAGAATATTGCTGAAGTGAGTTTATTGTCTTCTACATAATTTCACTTGTACAATTTTCAATTATTTGCCATTATTGTAGTTTTGGAGTACAAATTTAAAATATCTTTTTTAGAAATAAGGAAAATACGTATATTGCAAAGATGATGCATTTTTTACGCCGACATTTATTATTTTAATTATTTAACGCCAAAAAATAACTAAAAGCTGTGTGTGATGTTCTAGGGAGAAAAGTGAATTCTGTGCATGTTTTCTTCAATTGTGGAATCCGTAACCTAATTCATATGCAAGTTGAATTGTGAATACATGTGGAAACAAGGGTTTTTGGCAAGAATTTATACTAAAATATTCGCTCCCGAGCAATAAAAACTGTTTGCAAAGGCAAATCAGATAGAAATTTTGAATATTATCCCTCCATCGTGCTCTTCGTGGAGCAATTGACTTACTGTCCAGAAAAGATGGAAATCAATTATTTGAATAATTCCCCACTGACTTCTAGAAAGCGTGCTGATAGTGAACCTACATTTAAGTCCAGAGGCAAAACAAGAAGCCATCTCAGCATTTGTTCAAAGGAGCAGGGAAACGGGACGAAAAACTTGATCGAGAATGAGGGTCATTGACCCAGAAGCTGAGATACAATACATATTACAGACATATTAGTCTTTTAGACTTATACATTTAAAAATAGAGCCATTGCTTCTCTCGTACAATTATTTGCCATGTTTTCTTTTTATTTCACAGTTTTCGTAATCTTGGAGAATATAATTTCTTCTTGTCACTGGTTGCAGTAAAAGTTGCTTATATGTTGGGCGGTACAATAAAACGATTCTTTCCATTATTTTGTATTCTGCTTCACCTCACTTCGGGTCGCGGCCAGGATACGCGTAATGGCAGTTACTTTACGTGAAAACACGTGATATTTACTTTCTCGCCTTACTTCCTAAGAAGTGAAAGTGTTTTCCTGCACCAGAAGTCGGAGACTTTTTACGTTGTTGCTTTAGTACTTGGTAAGAGAAAGTAGTGTAATAGTGCGCCGTATATTATCTTACGAAATTGGGGTACTTTAAATAAAGCCACAATAATATTTTCAAATTTTTTAAAAAATGAATTCATTTTTTATTAAGCTTTGTTTTCAGATAGCTGAGAAAATGCTTAAACAATGGCACAGCAAAGAATTTCTAATATTTTGCTCATTGAAAAATTTCGGAAATTTTCGGCGTCTTCCTATAACTACAATATTGAAAGTAGATGTTTCCCCTTAATGAAATCTGTCCTTCAAAGACATACGCATGTCAATAAGGTTACGGTCAATTTTTCGAAAATTTTAGTAGTTTTTGCATAATCTTGCGTGAAATATAGGCAATGTTTAAATATTTCTTCTTCAAAAAGTCTCCATTTTGTTCTGTAAATTATCTTTTCATATGTATGAAAGGACAATACGTTTTTGTTTCAAATGACATATTCGGCAAACTCTTTGTGATGTAGAAAATTGCGACAAATTAACATTATTGTACTGAAGCTGAATATTTTTGTCGTAAATCATGTCGAAAATTTTGCTTGAATTTAATGAAGTTTATAAAAAATGTTTCGTCAAACCTGCTCAATTTTTTCCATGGATATGGCAAAATGACGCTTAAACATGGTTGACTTCGGATTTTCGTAGAATTGATTGACGTTTCCATTCATTTAAATTTTTGTTCGCAGAAAAAAGGTTCATGTGAATCTTCTCTTTTAATCCCTTACGACACATGCTATTTGGGAACTGATAGATTGCGCTTCAACGTTTACTGTGACAACCGAGTGTGAGTTGTCAACCCACACCAACTGACGTTGCCGATACACTCATATAAACATCAGCATGTGACCAACTGAAAACATGTCGTCTCATTTATCTCAGAGCCTAAATTGCCACTGTCTCTACAGCAACTCCAACTGGAAAGTTCTAGGTTTCGAGTCCTGACGGATAAGTGTTTTCTAAACTGGCTATTTAGGTAGATCCAATTCAGCCTTGTGTGGAGAAGGGATCTAGCGGTCGGCTGCTCTGATCAGTAGTTTTCTGCTGTTTTTGTTAATACCAGGCGGATGCCGGAGCAGTAACAAAACACACGGGCCACGGACCGCATGCGATGTTTTGTTCCTCTTCCCCTACACACGCACATGCACTATTCTAGTATACATGCTGGGAGACCAATAGGTAGGGAGCTCAGAGATTGCCCGTCTGGGGCGGCGTCCTCGGGGGAGATTCCTGAAAAGAGAAATCCTCCGTAAGCCGATCTCATTATCCTACAGGGAGGAACATCATCACTTTACACTTTCGGGCCAAATTACCATAACAGCTGACGTTCCAGGAAACGTCAATCAATCAATAAATATACGGAAAGCAGGATTGGGTTTCGGGTATGGAATGATTATTCATTGATTCGTGATACCGTGAGTGTCAACTGATAAGGTCATTCGTCCCATAAGTAGTGCTTGTTTTTTCCTCGGGAGTTGGCGGTAATCTTAGCCCGCTAGATGGCGAGATCCAGCGCCGACCTACCTTGCGGCTAGCGGAGTTTTCCCAAATCAGTTTTCTCTCACGAGCGGGGCACCGCTCGAGTCGGGACAAGCCCTAATCTCGTGACTGGTCTCCCGGAAAGTGCGCTAGTGTAGTAGATGTAAGTGTAAGTGTGTAAGTAACCTTTGAAGATAGGTTAAGGAAGGGGAAGGAAATATCGCGCGCGGTCCGTGGCCTGTTAGGGAACTTCCCCGGTATTCGCCTGGTATTAATCGGAGATACAACGGAAAACTACCGATCATAGCAGCCGGCCTCTCGCGTTCTCCTCTACAGAGCGTCGTAATTCGAACAAGCTATTTAGCTCGCGTGAAGAAACTTGCCACTGTCGGGACTCGAACCTAGGACTTGCGGTTCAAAGGAACTACAGTGATATTAGTAAATGCTCTGAGCCACCTCTGTCGGTAGAATGATTATAAGTGGCAGTGATGTGAATAGTACTCGTATATATCCTTTTAATTCAATATATTTTCTGTCTGTATCATCCGCATATATAATGAAACTTGAAAAAATATAGTTGCAAGTATCTCAATTTTGTTCAAGGTAATATTGTAGCATTGATCCTATCCGACAGGTTCATTTTTTTGTATATTCTAGACAGTATAAATGCATCATGCACACATTTACAGCAATTATTGCAACGTGTAAGTAAGAATAGTTCTGCGTACGTGTTTAAAAGCATTGTAGCCTTGAGAGACGAGCGCTGACAGATACGTCGGGCACTAGTGGCCTGTCAACGCTGCGTTGTCTCTTCCAAAGCCAGACCATGCGCCAGCACACTCTTGATCTCTGAATTTTCAGTCGTCAAAATCCGAGAACTCACCATTTCGCTCGCGATACTCCACCACGTAACCAGTCGTTTCCCCTGGGTCGTTGGCTTGATGTTGCCACGCCACCGCCACCGACCGACTCTTCACTGCCACTGCCTGCAGGTTCGTTGGACTCCGAGGAGGTTCTGCAACAGAACATGGAGAGCACACGTTCAAACTGACATCGAAGCGGAATTAAAGCAAAGGATTAAGTCAGGCCTCCACGACTGCTCCCGAGGGCATTCTGCAATCAGGAGCTGGATGCCTGCTCGCGAGAGCGGTGCATGTGCAAGTATGCAAGTGGGGGGTTCGCTGTTGCGTGGAGAGGGGAGCAGCTGGCTATTCCTCAATGGGAAAGGCACAGCGCGTAGTTTCAGTGCCTGGTCTTCTAATGTGATGGTCCATACTGTGGAATCATTTTACCACATTTTTAAATGGGTAAAATTCCCCTATATGTTGCTATTAAGGCCCTAATTCACTGTTTATGTTCTTCTTTACACTGTTATGTATCGACATATTTTCTTTTTTTTGATTTTCTAGACTATGCCCATTGTGACTCTTAAACAATATTTTAAAAACGAAAACCTTTTTCAAAATATATTATTTAATACTATCATTCATTTGCAATTTAATACATGATTTTTCACCAGAAAAGTTATCATCTCCAAATGAGAGAAAAACGAAGGACATTATGTGAGTACACCAAACGAAAACGCCCAATATACTGGTTATCTTGCAACTCTAATGTGGGAGATATTTATAAAGATTTAAATTTACGCCACTGATGATAAATTAATGTTTTATGGGCAACATAATGCTCCTAATTCCGGTTAATATATTTAAATATATCAACGTAATAAACGATTATGGATAATTAGTATTTGTTGACTTGATATTATAAATGTATAATGTACTCTTATCAAAATTAGAGCAGAAAGTAATATTGGTTTTTAAATTTTTTTAGATATAACTGTCGAATTCAATTAAAACTAGTTCATGAAAACATAGTTTAATACTGTCATCATCAAACAAAAACGATTCAATTTTACAATTTTGTGTTTCGCACCCATTTTGTCTTCCAAAGTCGAGACTTTAGAAAGGTTTCGGAAAAACTAGAAATGAATTTCAAAATGAAACTAACGAAAAAAAATATGTTGAAGTCTGCTGTTATGTAAATCTACCTGAAACACTCCGTAATTATTAACAACAACACTATATTCCTCAAAAGAAATTTTCGTGAGTAGTAATAAGTAGTAAAGAATACGAATAAAATACAAATCTCGATTGCATATTAGAAAAAAAATCTTGCAAACATATTTTCGTATGAAGCCACTATTACCCGCATCGCGCCGTTTCAGCTTGCGCGTAAACACCCCTTCGTGTACTTGGGGAGAAAAATGAGAGAAGTGCAGGGGAAGTTACCTGGGGAGTCAGGATTCTCAGTCGGGCAAGAAACTCGTGCGGGCGCAGTTTGAATTGCCTTCCGTACAGTGAAAAACGTTGTCGCTTCCTGAGACGTGTTCTCGCCGCACGGATTCTTTAACGGGCGATTGCTATTGGTGCGGAGGCAAGAGGCGAGGACCGGCAATACGAGAGTGAGTAGTGGAGAGACCTTGGCGTGTACTTGAGCCGCACAAATTTTCAATAGGTACAATAAAAAAGACAGCCCAAGTGACGAGGGGGTTAGCACGTTAGCTTCCTGAACTCAAGTTCGCGGGTGCAAACGAATCTTTCGAGGGCGAAACATTCTTCTTGCAATGCCATGTGAAAGGAACCCGGACAAATACCCCGAAGAATTGAATGCTCGGATAATCCTTATACTTGTACTGGTCAGATCCCGTATTCGCTCAGCCAGGGAAGGACATTAGCAAGGGATACATACGATAGAGGTCGTTCTTGTCTGGGTACCTTTCGACGGAATGTTAGGTCAACATAAGGAAGGGATAAATACGATAGAGGCCGTCCTTGTCTGGGTACCGGTCGCCGGAATGTTAGGTCGAGGTCGACGATCTTGCTGGCGCGCGCCAGGGGAGAATCTGACCTTGCACTTGGAGTTGCACCAGCTGCTGGTCGTCGCCGAAGTCGTTGCTGGCGCGGCAGAAGTAGGCCCCAGCGTCGGAGGCCTCCGCGCCGGCGATCTGCATCTCGGCGACCACGCCCTCGGGCGTGCGCTCTTGCTTCATGGACACCCTGCGCACCCAGATGGCTTTGGCCGTGCGTGCAGACGAGGCCGGCACTTGCTTAGTATTATTGTTGTTATTATAATTTATATATTTTGTGTGAGATGGGCTGTCCGGGTGACGCCGCGTCGAAGGCTGTGTTGCCGACGTTTCGACCATCTTGTCGTGATCGTCTTCAGAGCTGGTATGCCAGCCCTGAGGAAGACCACGACAGGTTGGTCGAAACGTCGGCAACACAGCCTTCGACGCGACGTCACCCGGACAGCCCAGATCACACGCATGACTATGGCTGCGGAAGCCTACGACTTCATAATTTATGTATTGCCTCAAATTTGTATATTGCACAAATTCGGTGTTAAGTAACACAAGTAATAATACTAAATTCAACTATGTTAATAATGTATTATATTATTAAACTTTGTTATTTCTTTCTTTCACGATTAGGCCAACTAGGACCACGCATGCATGCATCCATCCTGCATTTACCGTGGCTCAGTAACATTAT